TCCTCTCCACCTGTCCTCTCCTCTATCCATCTTCTATCCGGCTCCCATTCTCTCCCTATTTATTTCAGAACCCCCTTCCCCTCCCCTTTTTCTGATGAAGGGTCTAGGCCCGAAACGTCAGCCTTTCTGCTCCTATGATGCTGCTTGGCCTGCTGTGTTCATCCAGCCCTGCACTTTGTTGAAGAAACTCACAAGTCTGGCAGCATTTGTGGGAAAAAAGCGAAGTTAAAGTTTTGAGTGCACGGATTCTTCACCAGAACAGTTCTGATGAAGGAATTGAAATATGAAGTCTATTCCCTTCTCACAAATAGTACCAGATATGCTGTTTTTTTTTTATTTGTTTCAGTGAGATTTTCCCACACTAATTTATGAATAGAGATATCCTATAATTGCTTATATTCATTTGTGTTTATGCCTATTTTCCTTCATATGGAAATTTTTCTAATTGTGGGAAATGTAGCACCCTGTATTCCATATTTACCTGCTGAAAAGTGACTATTAGATTACAAGTTGTAGGAACAGGCACGTAATCCATATAGCTCTACAAATATTTTGTAAAATTTATGACAGATTTTGTGCTTTGAAACAGTGTATTTAATTTTAAAACTGGACGTGATCTAACTCCTTCTAGTTAAGCTTTGTTGCGAATACAGCTATAAGTCTCTAATCCTGCTCCAAACATCGAACTCTTGCCGCTGATTCTATCCAATACGTGTTCATTGTTGGCCATTTCCACACTTGTGCTACATTGTTGGATGTCTGGCTTCCATAAGTTCTCCACACTACAGATAGCCCTTTCCACCTCCAGAAAATAGTATTTTCTGTCCCTGGTTCCATCTATTTTCTGCTGAAATTCTTTTTTAAAAGGATTCTGTCTCTCGAATTGACAATTCCCATGTTTTTTTTTCAATCAGGTCTCTCACAAAGTATTCATAATCTTGTTGGTATAGAGTTTCTTCCGATGCGTACAATGTGTCCATTTCCTCTCTCTCTGATTGGCCTGTGTTTAGGTAACTTCATGGCCTCGTTCTTGTGCACAATTTGTCCTCCAAATCGAAAACACCTGCAGTTTTGTTGCCCAACAATCTCCAGGTAAGACGCTGTTGCTTGTTGCTTGGCCTATCTCTCACCCCACCAGTCTCCATCTCTTCCCCACATCCAATCATTTCGCCAGCAAAGCCACGTCTTCAGTTGCATCGACCTTCTCTAAAGTATTTTCCTCTCGGCCTATTTTGCTTTTTTAACCTGGTCCTCAACCTCACCTGCTTTTGTCACCTCTGTTGTCATATCTTGCTCTGATTTTCAGTTGAATGAGGACTCGTTTGAATGTCACAGCACTGTAGGACGGTGTATTTTATGATCATAAATGATCTGAATCAATTGTACCAATGTATCAACTGAAGGTCTTCGCTCCAATGAAACCTTCCATATCAAGCATCTCACTCTTTTGTGGATTAGTGAAACTGGTCTTAACAGAACAACTGTTGAGATATGTCTATTTAACATCAGTATGTCATTCTATTGGAGGTGAGAATAGAGAACAATTCAGATGTATTTTTTTCACATTGTTTTTTCTACTTTCTTTCTTGTTGGGCCAGGGATCTGCAGCAACTTCTTTCTATAAGCCCACTGGTAATACAACTTGATGAACGTCTGCCCATTTTCATTCACCTAAATAAATGATTATCTCAGTTTCCTCATCATGGCCTCATTTATTCATCTTCTGCGTACAGTTTTTGGTATAACTACCTACACTTTGTATATTTCTGTTGTAATTCAGGTAATTTCTCTCAAAGAAAAATATCCAATTTGTCCTCCACATTTTTTCGTTTCTTCTTAGCTATTTGATCAAACATATCTTCTGAAAATTGAAGCTCAAATTCTTTACATTTGTTCTTCGGTTTCTCCTTCTGTTTCCAAATATGACTTGAGAACTTGCTACCAGACTGTGAGGAAAATTCCCAGGATATAATTCTTTTAACGACTCAGTTGCCTTATTTTCCACTGACTTTTCAAACCAGTAGGCATCACTCTCGTCTATGACCCAGCAATATCATTACCAAGGATAAACTGCATTTCTGGAACAGAGAATTTCTCTATTGCTCCACCATCACCACCTTTTCCACCGACTTCTCCAACTTCACTTTTTATAATAGAACACGGATCTTCTCACAACGTATTCCACATAATACCACCTTTTCAGGCAATACTCCTTCTGAATTACATATCTCCCCATCTCTGACTTTTCGGGATGCCCTTGACTGAGCACCACAAAATGGTCGATGGCTGCCCAGCAGAACATGGCTGACAATACTTAGAGAGCTTAGGAAAATATTTACTTAACGTAGCCTGCATAAGTTTGAACAATAATAACTTTGTGAACCTCATCTTAAGACAGAATTGAGATAGATTATGCAGCCGCAGTTGCTTACGCATAAGGCATAGATTAGAACAAAACCAGAAGTTGCTGGAAAATCTCAGCAAATATGGGAGCATCTGTGAAGGAAAATCAGTGTTAACGTTTCGCGTCAGGTGACCGTTCCTCAGAACCAGTAGAAGCGAGTTTTGCGGGGTTGCGGGACTATCAGCTTGCAGGCAGTGGACGTGGGTGGGGTGAGGGGGGTGGAATCACCTGATGAAATGTGGACAGTTACCGTAGTTGATACAATGGCCTGATGTACCATGCTGGGGCCATGGTCCAGGGCAAGATGGGAGGAGGTATCCGAGATCTGGCGCTCAGCCTCTCAACGTAGCCATCAATAACCCAGACTACAACAACACCACCCTTATCGACAGACTTAATTTTTTTAAAAAAAGTCAGGTTTGTCTCTTAGCGCATGGAGTGCAGTCAGTTTGAAGGAAGAAAGGTTTGATTGGGTGAGGGGGCAGACAAATTGAGGTGACCAATGGCAAGTCGATAGTGCTCAATGAACAGATCAAGTGCAGATAAAATGCCAGTGGGAGGGGTCCAGGTGGAGGAAGCGTGTTGGAGCTGGGCAAAGGGTCTGCGGGACGTGGAGACAACTGTTGTCCAAAGAAATGGGCACGGAGGCAAAGATGGCAGAAGAGTTTGACGTCATGACTTGCCCGAAATTCATTAAGGTGGGGACGCAGAGGGATAAAGCTGAGCCCAGAACGCTCAGCATTAGAGAGCGGAAGGTTAGGTGGGATGGTGAATACCCGACAGGAGGTGGGGTTGGGGGAGGGGATGGAGTCAGGGAAGGGAAGGGGAGAAAGGTTTCAGAGGGCTATGGGTACCTGTGAGTTGTTACAACTTGTGGGCCTTGATGCCACAAAGCAAAAGAAAATAAAAGTTTCTGGTTAGCCCAGTGAATGAGCCGGAGGATGAAGTGGAACTGCGGCGTAGTGCAGCCCTGAGCCAGCGTGATGCGATGTTGTTGGAGAGAGAAGTCGAGAGTGTGCATGTGACGCCACGTGGCACAGAGTGTGAATCTCAGCATGCCGCGAGAACAACTGCTTGTGGAGCATTGAACATCGCGGAGTTACCTGTGATTCTGCGTGGATTCAAAGCACGAGGCGTGAAAGATCATTCGGAATACAGGTGGAGTGAGTCTGAACGGGAGGCAGTCACTGGGGAATGTTATATGGTTGTGGATACGAGTTTTAGCAAATACCTGGTCAAATACGTGCGTGGACGAAAAGAAAGGTTAGAATGGTAATCCCGTCGGAGAGAGGAGCAGAACTTCTTCAAGGTGGGCATGCCGAGTAGAGATGTGGCTGTGAGTTAAATCCTAAATCAAAACCGAAAGAACTGTAGATGCCGTAAATCAGGAACAGAAACAATCGTTGGTGGAAAAGCTCAGCAGGTCTGGCAGCATTTGCGAAGAAAAATCAGAGTTAACATTTCGGGTCCCGTCAGCATTCTGAGGAAGGGTCACCGCACCTGAAACGTTAACTCTGATTTTTCTTCACAGATGCTGCCAAACCTGCTCAGCTCTTCTGCCAACTTCTGTTTTTGTTCCTGATTTACAGCATCCACAGTTCTTTCAGTTTTTTGCATAGACAAGAACATTTCACTCTGTATTTAATTAGTAAATCTCTATTTATTTAATCAATATTTTACAGTACTATCTGTAGGTTTTAGTTAGGATTCTCCAAATAATCTAGATACAGATTCTGAAGTAGTTATAGATTCACCTATGTACAAAAACATCACTCGAAGTATTAGAGGAAAAGATTCAAATAAAGTTATGAGAACGAACCAGCATGAGACACTAAAAACAGTTCCCATATCATTACAGGGAGAAATGAATCATACATACCGAAAGTAGCAGACTTCAGAATGCGGGGTGAATGAACAGACTGTAAGACACCCAAAGACGAAGGTAGAGGCATCTAGTAAATACTGCAAGAAAGAAACTGCTCAGAATTCGTTTGTTTAAGAATTATAACGTTCTGGGTTAGAACTGATTTGATAAAAATCGCAAAAATCTTTTTTTTTTTGCATTTTGAGCTTAGTAAGGCATTTAAACGGTCCTTAAGCGATAGGCAACAGTCCAATTCAATGGCAGTTAACACAATGCACCTGGCAAATATCTGGAAAGGAATATACTTGAATGCGGTGTCCATTGTGAAGAGTCCCAACAAGGGAGATAAGAGAATCTGATAGACAACACGAAACCATGAACCAATGGTTGAACACGACCCTGTCCATCTCTAGCTGTTCAGTCATATGTTTAGCTTAACTGGAAATATTTGTAATTAATTAATAATGTGATTGGTCTGTAAATGGTAAAGGCGGGATGAAACGAGCACATAAAAATGTATATCTTCCTTTGTTCTGGGTGAAGAGCTTTCTGGATTTTCAGAGGGTTTCTTCCCACCGCTGTAATTTCAATAAACTCTTCGGTGCTGGAAGTGAACCTCTATGTGTCGAGTGAATCATCTGGACATTCCACTCCAATAATAAGATTATGAGGGGCATGGACAAGCATCCGTTCTCCTCAATCAAGGGTTCAATGACAAGGCATCATCATTTTCAAGTCATAGACAAGAGAAAGGATTTCTAAATCTACAGGGTGGGTGCGATTGGTTGGGGGGAGAGAGATCTGTATTGCATTGTCTGGGACGTGGGCTTTGCAGGCAGGCCAGAATTTATTGCCCATCCCGAGTTTTTCCCATTGAGAAGTTGGTGGTCAGCTACCTTCTTGAACAGCTGAATTCCATGTGGAGTCGGTAGACCCTCGGCAGAGAATTCCAGGATTTTAACCCTGCAACAATGAAGGAATGGCGATATATTTCCAAGTCAGGATTGTGAGTGACTTGGACGGGAACTTGCAAGTGTTCCAACGTACCTGCTGCCCTTTTCCTTCTAGATGGAAGTGGTGGTGGGTTTGTTAGGTGCTGTCTAAGGATCTTTGACGAATTTCTGCAGTGTATCTTGTAGAAACTGCACTCTGTTGCTACTGAGCTTTGGTGGTGGAGAGAATGTGTACTTGCTAATGTGGTGCCAATCAAGAGGAGTACTTTGTCCTGACTGGCGTCAATCTTTTACAGTCTTGTTGAAGCTGTACTCATCCAGGCAATTGGGAGTATTCGATAAGACTCCTAACTTGTGTCTTGTAGATGGTGGACAGGCCTAGGGGAGTCAGGAGTTGATGTAAACGCCGAAATATTCCTATCCCCCTGTAACTACTGTCCTTATGTGGCAAGTCCAGTTGTGTTTTTGGTTAATGGTAATTCCAAGAATGTTGATAATGGAGAATCACACGTTTGAATTGCAAGAGGCTATGGTTAGATTGCCTCTTATCGGAGATGGTCTTAGCCTGACATTTGTGTGGCGTGCATGCTACTTGGTCCTTTCAGCGGAAAACTGGATATTGTCCAGATCTTGTTGCATTTGAAAATGCACTGCCACAGTACCTGAGTAGTCGAGAGTAGTGCTGAACATAGTACAAGCATTGGCGAATACCTCTACTCCTGACCATATGATAGTCAACAGATTGATCTCGGGTAGGCGGGTAATGTCTTATGAGGAGAGATTGAGTAGTTTGGGCTAGTACTCATTGGAGTTTTGAAGAATGATACGAGGCTTTAATGAACCATATAAAATTCTGAGGGAACTTGACAGGTTAAATGTAGAGAAGTTATTTCTGCCAGGAAGAATCTAAGACCAGGTTGGCATTTTCTCAGAATAAGACGTGATAGGCCGAAGGTCTTCTTCCGTTTCTGTACAATTCAATGACATTCTCCATGAGAAATGAACACAAAACAAAAGTGGTCATGAATGCAGTGAGTTTTATTCACACAAATGCAGGAAGTAGTGACCAAACAGCTGGGACACAATCCAGGAGACAATGCATTCAGCGTCAGGCAGAGCCTTGGGCTTGTCACTCTTATCCAATCGTATCTCACAAGTGCTTGCAACATTTCAAGAGCAAAAAACACTTCCCATTCTTTTGACTTTATTCTCTGTACACACTCTCAGTCTTCAGCTCCCAATTGCCCATGCCACAACTAAATGTTAAATTTGGTTCAAAAGAGAAGAAGAGATTCCCGAATGACAGAATGTTGTGGCATAGATCAGCCAATTGTGTCTGTGTTCCAGTTTGATTCCCTCAAGCCAGTCGTCTGCCTTCCTCTTCCATCCCTGCACATACCTTCTATCTCAATGCCATCCAATGTTCCTCTTTAATGCCTCCTTCATCGATGCACAGTGCTTCACCTTTCCACTTTGCAATCTGAACAAACTGAGCTACACAGAGGAGCAGGGCTGTGTGGCAGTCTATTCAAAGCCCTACCCTTTCTCCCTGTTATGCAGAGAGCATCATCTTGCCACGCAGCAATGAAGTACCCATTACCCGGAACTGATATTGCAGGCAGCCTAGAGCAGGTTTACCAAGGCTCATCCCAGGTAGGCAGGGACTATCTGATGAGAAGAGATTGAGCAGGGTTGAGACTGGATTCATCAGAGTTTAGAAAAATTAGATGGTGTCTTGTTGAAATACAGTAGATCCGTAAGGGACTGATTCGCTTTTCAATGAGACCATGGCTGATATGATCATTCTCAAACACATTTTACTGTCTTTTCCCCTCGATTCCCATTCCTGATTAAAACTCTGTCTGTCTCAGCTTTGACTATACTGTGCGGGAAAGAATTCCACAGATTCTCCGCCCTTTGAGAGAAGAAATCCCTCCTCATTCTATGTCTTAATTGGATGTTCCCTTGTTCTTCTGGTTCTAAACTTTGCCACAAGGGGAAGCAAACTCTCTACATCTCGTGTCAAATTCTCTATAAGTCATATTTGTTGAAATAAAGTCGCCTCTCATTCCTCTATAACCTAATGAGTCAACCTCTCCTCATAAGACAGTCCCTCCATGGGATCAGCCTCCAAAGCCAGTATATTTTTCTTCTTCTATAAGAGCTCCAAACCTGCTCAGGGTATTCCAGCTGTGGTCTGACTAGTGCCTTGCGCAGCTTTAGCAAAACCTTCCCACCTTCACACTCCATTTCCTTTGAAAGAAATGTCAACGTTCAACTTGCCTTCCCTATTTACTGCTGAATCTTGGGCGCCAACATGTTTTTGCAGGGGGAATTATGCACGAGGACCCCCAAAGTCTTCTGTAGGTTTTTCCAGGTTTTATTTTATTTAAATCATATTCATCTCCTTTATTCATCCTGCCAACATGCATTACCTCTCATTTCTCCACATCACATTTCATTTGCCAAGTTTTTGCCCACTCACGTAGCCTATCTCTCTCACTATGCAGATTATTTGTGTCATTCGCACCACTTGGTTTTCCACTCTTTTTTTGTACCATTCACCTTCGTGCATTCACCTCCCTCATCCAAGTCAGTGAAATACATTGTAAATAATTGTGGTCCCAGCACTGTTCACTGTGGCAATCCATTAGTTGCAGGTTAAAATCCTGAAAATGTACTTCCCCATCACAACTCTATCTTGTTTTCATTCGCCAAGCGTCAATAGAATGTAGGAGCAGTAGTAGGCCATTCGGCTTTTGAGCTTGTTCCGCCATTCAATGTGATCATGACTGATCATCTTACTCGGTACTCTGTTCAGACATTCTCGTCATAGCTTACTTTAACCCTAAGAACTATACAAACTCCTTTTTAGAAACATTCAAAGTTTTGGCCTCAACTGTTTTCTGTGGTGGAGAATTCCACAGGCCCGCCAATCTCTGAATGAAGACATTTCTCCTCATCTCCTCACTGCATCCTTAGACTTTAACTCTATCTTCCTACAGAACACTTTGTCCTGCAGCCAACCTACTGACTCGTCCGGAGATCTAGTGGTTGTACTCAGCTACATTTTGTAACAGTGTGAAGCATTTGGAACCGCCAAAGCTCTGGCACTACTGCCCAATACACAAGAGTATTGACAGATGATGATCAGTCACCATCCTTTCCTTAAACACACTCATCTGTATTCAGCCTAGAATATGTAAATCTTCTTTATCGTGGTATAACTGGTGCTGGAGCGAAAGAGTTAACGAAACCTGTTAGTTTGGAGCTCGTAATTATCACCAGTCTCCAGGGATCTGCATCGTGTTACTGGTCACTTTCCCTCTTATGTTTAAAAAGCCGCTCCTTTCAAGGAAATGTTCCATAGTGTGGGTGGAAGCATCATCTCCACAGTTCGAGGCATCAATGGTTCCAAAGATAGACACAGAGAGAGAGAGACAGAG